CTCAGTCGCATGTTTGTACCACAAAACTGGTCTAGGCCATGTTTGTCCTCACACAGCTGGTCAAGGCCATCTTCGTCCCCACAAAGCATCTTAGTGCAATCTTTGTCTCAAAATTGCAAATCTGCTAATCAGTGCCATCAATGTACCCAAATGGCTATTAAGTGCCACGTGTACCCCCATAGCTAATCAATGCCATTAGTTCCCAAATAGCTAATCTATGCCATTTGTGCCCAAATGGGTCATCAGTGCAATATTTGGGTCCAAATGCATAATCAGTTCAATATTTGTCCCAAATGGCTAACCAGTGAGTTAGCCAATTGTCTTTTAAAAGAGCTTACAAGTGCCATGTTGTCTTCAATCCTCTTGTCACTTTTTTCTTCCAGTTTCTCCGGCCTTGCAAATTGCAAGGGGAGGAAGCTAACATAAGGGGGTGGGGCTTAGAACGGCACAGCCCGCCGATACGGTTCTATATGCAGAGTGCCTGGGTGCAGGATCGGCCATAAAGTACAGTTCTAAACATAAATAAATGCAAAGTAACTTTCAAAAGCATAGCAAAATATATCTTAAGGAAACTCTAGTAGACAGAAAGCAACATATTATTACTATTGGCAAATGCATCCCTGGGTTTAAGTTGCCCTGTCACTGGGGGGATGTATTTTCTGCAAACTCAAACAGTTGCTATAGCTATTTGCTGGAGCAGCATCCTAACAAATGAATTACCTATTGCTTAATTTCTATTGATACTACAATTATTCTTCTTCAAGCCACGAGAGACAAGTATGGCAGTAGACATGTCACTGTTGTCCTATATATTGCTATCTTCAGGCATTAATGGCAGATCCTAGAAGGACGTCACGCACAATGGCTGTTGCAAACCTATCCTTATTTTATTTTGCTCTAACTTCCCCCAAACATTTCTACCTTACTAGAACTGTTCCTTAAAAAAGAGACAAATATAATAACGAAATCCATTGTGAGTGTAAATATTATACCCGATATATAAATCATTTTTTTTGTAGTATTTTTGTAATGCATTTTTAAATGATTTATATAATGCATTAAATAAGTGGCAAAATTGAGCATTTTTACTTTTTGTCTATTTTCAATAAGTAACCAATGCATACTGTCAAAACTATGGAATACAACAAATGCTACAAAATTCTAAATGCAATTCCTGTTTATAAACATGCAATAGATTCCAATCCAATTGGCACAAACAGTCTTCTAAATGATCCGTTCATGCATATTGTGTATTAGGTCAATATGTTCCACACATTTAGGTAACTCTTTAAATAGAGTAGCTCTATGGCTTTTTCTGCAATCTCATGTGTGTCTTATTTGTTTCAAAGTCCGCAAATCCATGTTGTGCTCCTCATCTACCAAGGAATTTTTTTTTAAAGTATCTGAATTCACTATAAATGACAAAGAACATATGAATCCCAAACTTCAGATGCCTCACATCTATTGCCATATTAGGAAATAAGAACCAAATGTTTGTCCAAGCTGTTATCTAAAATAACACAATACCAAAATGGAGCCGAATGCCGAAGGTTATTATTAATAAACAAGGTTTAGTTTTGTAAGCTGAGCTCATCTGATCTGTTCGGTACCCATGTATTTTACCAAATGCCAAACAAATTTTAGCTCTTAATTGAGAGGAATATGCAGGAGGACTGTTTTTTCCCCATAGAAAGCATGTTTAACTGAGTTGTAGGCATGTTTTTAAAGGGACAGCTTAAAGATCAATGTTAGTACAGCTTAAAGTTCTTTATTTTAGATTGCACAATAACAATATCTCACATCACAAAAAAATATATACAAAATTTTAAAAAAGGGTGCCAGTTCTACAAAATATAATCTAGTCTGAAGAAGAAAGAGGAACGACAAAAGTGGTAAGCTTGCTTTAAAGTGCATTAAACAGAGATGAAAAAGTACATTCTTATCTGTGCCTGTGTAGACCATAGCAATTAGTCTATTCAACAGCAGGTTGCCAAGAACTTTTGTAATGACTCTACACAAGGTGGTTTCTATCTATAGACCAAACTAGAGACTGTCTAGCAGCTAATGCTATTTGGTTTAGCAAATTAAAGATTTTGTGCTTAAAGGGTTACTCCAAGCACCTTAACCACTTCAGTGATTTGGAGTCTGTATGCGCAGTGTTTTACTTTGAAATGCTACACATGCATAGATTGAGCCCTTAGCTACCAGAGTTGTAACTCCACCTCTGGTAGCATCATAGGAGTGTCATCAGCTAGCCGAACCTAACTAAAGTCACTTCTGTGCAACTTTCAACTAACATCACAATATCACAATTTGCACTACTGTGTTGAGTCTTATGTTGTTGCATCTTCATAACATGCATTGGAAGCTTATCCTGAATAGATTGTGTGTGGGTCAAAATACTCTGTAAAAGTATATATGCAAAGACGGTAAGAGTGACCAAAGTTTTGGCTATATTTTAATGTACAATACATTTGGTAGCCATCTGCTTATAAGGTCTTTCATCCTTTTAAGATGTATTAATAGAAAAAAATCATCTGTTTTATAATCAAATGCTGTGATAAATTTAGCAATTTTTATATGGTATAAGCTTTTTATAGTTATTAGGTTTTTTTAAGTTTATTTTAGTTCAGGTTGGCATTGGCCCAAGTCAATAGAGTGGATCAAAACACATGCATTTATCCTTTCCTGTACATGAAAGGGGTGGTGTGAAAAAATGCATGGCAGTATATAGAAATATATTTAGAACTGATATACATTTATATTTAATCCAAAACCAACTTTTCTTGTCCAAGGAAGTAGGACACATTTATGCATTAAAAATACACATAAAAAAAAAAAAATACAACTAAATGAGTTAGTGAACTATAAGACTGTAATACCAGACACAAACATTTGTGGCGAAGTGTGGCTTTTGTTTGTTTGCTTGGGTATTTCTGTTCATTAATGGAGTTGCACTGGTAAGTGAATGGGACAATCTTTACGTAGTCCAACTGCTACAAGATGGGAAGTGAATGAGAGAGGTATTAGCTATTTGACAATAGTCCCAGACTGATTTTGAAGCCAAAGCAAAAGAAAAAAATAACGCAACACTTGATAGTACCATGAAAATATAATTCAACCCCCACCCCCTAAAAAATGAACATAAATGTGGCTAAATTAAACCTAAAACAAATTTATTATAAAACAAGAACAAAATGACTAAACTACTGTTTACAGTTTAGCAATTGTTTTGAATAGAAAGACAGAAAAAGGTTTACACAACAGTAAAAAAAATCTCAGAAAACAAAAATAAAGAATAAAATGTGCTATGCATGTTGCACCAACTAATATCTTTTCGTTAACATATATACCTAATGTATTATAGGTGGGCATCTGTTGGTCCAGCTCTCTCAGGCTATTATTACCATCCAGGTTGAATAGAAATAATATTTATAATATACAGTGCATTCAATCCCCTTTGGGGTTGTTTTGTTTGTTTGTTTGTTTTCTTTTTTCCTCACTTTTTTTATTTTGACACAGTCATAATGAGTATTCAATAAAGATTCTATCTTTATAAAATACTAATTTTTCAGGAGGGGTGACATTGTCTCTTTAATCTACACTAAATACCCCATAGCGATAAAGCAAAAAACAGACTTTGCAAATTTATAAAAAAATAAAAACTGAAATATCACAATGAAAGTATTGAAACCCTTTGCTACGACACTAGAAATTTTGCACAGATGCATCACATTTCTCTGTATCATCTTTGAGATGATACACTTAGATTGGAGTCCACTTGTGGCAAATTCAATTGAATAGATATGATTTGGAAAGGCACACATGTGTCAATTTAACCTCTTAAGGACCAAACTGGAATAAAAGGGAATCATGACATGTCACACATGTCATGTGTCCTTAAGGGGTTAAGGTCTCACAGCTGTAAATGCAAATCAGATCAAAAACAATCCATGAAGTCAAAAGAACTGCCTGTGCAGCAAAGCGACAGGATTATGTCAACAAATTTTGGTAAGATTATAAAAAAAAATATTAGTTGCAACAAAGATTCCCCAAATCACAGTGGCTATAATACTTAAAAGGAAGAAGTAACAACCAGGACTCATCCTAGAGATGGCTGCCCGGGCTAACTGAGCAATTGGGCGAGAAGGGTCTTGCCAGGGGCGGACTGAGAGCCTTTGGGGCCCCCGGGCAAAATTAGATCCCAGGCCCTTTGAAGGCCAAATATATGTGCATTTTAATAAATGTTAAATATAATTCATAATACGGCATTCCTTTGGATGTGTGTATTGTGAAGACCAGTGTATCAATGCATGTTTGTATTTGAGTCTGTGTGAATGCACTTGTGCATGTCTGGATGACTACATGTGCTTTTTTGTATATAGTGTCTGTGTGAATGCATATGTGACAGGTGACAGAGTGTGTGAGGGAGAAGGTGACAGGTGGAAGAGTGTGGGAGGTTGTGACAGGTGGCAGAGTGAGGGGGTACCTGGTGGCAGAGTGAGGGAGGGAGGGGTTGAGTGGTGGCAGAGTGAGGGGGAGACACAGTGAGTGGGGGTGACTGGTGACAGAGTGAGGGAGTGGGTGACTAGTGACAGAGGGAAGGAGAGGGGGAGACTAGTGGCAGAGTGAGGGAGGGAAGAGATGACTAGTGGCAAAGTGAGGGAGGGAAGGGGTGACTAGTGACAGAGTGAGGGGATGACTGGTGACAGAGTGAGGGGGGGGTGACTGTCACTAGTCACCCCATCCCTCTCTGTCACTAGTCAATCCCTCCCTAACTCTGTCACTGTGTCACCCCCTCCCTCACTCTGTCACTAATCACCCCCTCTCTCCCTAGTCACCCCCTTCCTCACTCTGTCACTAGTCACCCCATCCTTCTCTCTGTCACTAGTCACCCCATCCTTCTCTCTGTCACTAGTCACCCCATCCCTCTCTCTGTCACTAGTCACTCCCTCCCTAACTCTGTCATTGTGAAGGAAGGAAGGGGTGACTGGTGACAGAGTGAGGGAAGGGATGACTAGTGGCAGAGTGAGGGAAGGAAGGGATGACTGGTGACAGAGTGAGAGAGGGGGTGACTAATGACAGAGTGAGAGAGGGGGTGACTAATGACAGAGTGAGAGAGGGGGTGACTGTCACTAGTCACCCCATTCCTCTCTCTGTCACTAGTCACTCCCTCCCTAACCCTGTTACTGTGTCACCCACTCCCTCACTCTGTCACTAGTCACCCCCTCTCTCACTATGTCACTAGTCACCCCCTCCCTCACTATGTCACTAGTCACCCCCTCTCTCACTCTGTCACTAAGGACAGAGGGGGTGATTAGTGACAGAGTGAGGGAGGGAATGACTAGTGACAGAGTGAGGGAGCAGGTGACACAGTGACAGAGTTAGGAGGGAGTGACTAGTGACAGTCACCCCCTCCCTCACTCTGTCACTAGTCACTCACTGTGTCACTAGTCACCCCCTTCCCTCTCTCTGTCACTCCCTTACTCTGTCACTAGAGTGAGGGGGTGACTAGTGACAGAGTGAGGGAAGGGGTGACTAGTGGCAGAGTGAGGGAAGGGGTGACTAGTGGCAGAGTGAGGGAAGGAAGGGGTGACTAGTGACAGAGTGAGGGAGGTGGTGACTGTCACTAGTCACCACCTCCCTCACTCTGTCACTAGTCACCACCTCCCTCTGTCACTACTCCCTCCTTCCTTCTGTCACTAGTCACGCCCTCCCTCACTCTGTCACCAGTCATCCCCTCCCTCACTCTGTCACCAGTCATCCCCTTCCCTCACTCTGTCACCCCCTCACTCTGTCACTAGTCACCCCCTCACTCTAGTGACAGAGTGAGGGAGGGGGTGACTAGTGACAGAGTGAGAGAGAGGGTGACTAGTGACAGAGTGAGAGAGAGGGTGACTAGTGACAGAGTGAGGGAGGGGGTGACTAGTGACAGAGTGAAGGAGGTGGTGACTGTCACTAGTCACCCCCTCCCCTCCCTCACTCTGTCACTAGTCACCCCCTCCCTCTCTCTGTCACTAGTGACACCCTCCCTCACTCTGTCACTAGTCACACCCTTCCTGTTACTAGTCACCCCCTCCCTCTCTCTGTCACTAGTCACACCCTCCCTCTCTCTGTCACTAGTCACACCCTCCCTCACTCTGTCACTAGTCACCCCCTCCCTCACTATGTCACTAGTCACCCCCTCTCTCACTCTGTCACTAAGGACAAAGGGGGTGATTAGTGACTGAATGAGGGAGCAGGTGACACAGTGACAGAGTGAGGGAGGGTGTGAGTAGTGACAGAGTGAGGGGGTGATTAGTGACAGAGTGAGGGAGGGAATGGGTGACAAGTGACAGAGTGAGGGGGGGGTGACTAGTGACAGAATGAGGGAGGGGGTGACTAGTGACAGAGGGAGGGAGATTGTGACTGTCACTAGTCACCCCATCCCTCCCTCTGTCACTAGTCACCCCCTAACTCACTCTGTCACCAGTCATCCCCTCACTCTAGTGACAGAGTGAGGGAGGGTGTGAGTAGTGACAGAGTGAGGGAGGGTGTGAGTAGTGACAGAGTGAGGGAGAGGGTGACTAGTGACAGAGGGAGGGGATGACCAGTGACAGAGTGAGGGAGGGGGTGACTAGTGACAAAGTGAGGGAGGGAATGGGTGAGTAGCGACAAAGTGAGGGAGGGAAGGGGTGACTAGTGACACAGTGGGGGGGTGACTAGTGACAGTGAGGGG